GTTTCACCTACCCCACCCACAATTTTGATGTTGTCGGGGCCGGGGCGTGAACCGGCGATCTTCGGATACAAGCCCACTTCTCTAACCTCTGCGCCACCACTCCCCCTGTGTCCGGAGCCACAATACCTGCTACAACTGGGATTCTCAACTGGTGGCCCACAGACCACTTTAAGTTTGTTGAAGGGCTTCAAAAACGTTCAATACAAAAAAACAACTGACTTTATTTGTAACAGAAGACGTTTCGCTCCTCATTCTTCTGTCAAATAAAGTCCAGTTGTTTTTTGTAATGAAAGTTTTTGAAGTTATGTCCTGGATGACTGAGAATCTTCACCAGCATTTTGTTGGAGGGCGCTTTTCTGGACAGTAGGGGTGATTTTATAAAACTAAAAATATCTACTGATTTTTAACATTTATTGATATTTTTACACTCTTGACACAAAATAAAAGACAAGATTCTTGTAAAGAAGGAAAAAATAATATAGTTTTTGCCCAGTTTCTAAAAACTAAAACAATAAAATATGCATTCTTATGTGATTTTTTTTATTGTAGAAAAATTACGTATTCCACTTTGAATAAATAAAGCATAAAGTGAAAGTGAGTATGTTTTACTCCTTGTAATGTTTCTAGTATTCATATATTTGCAAAATAAACTACAGGAAAACTGCTAAAACATTGGTTACGTACTGTAACCCCAGATTCTATGAGTATAAGCGTAGCCCTTTAAGGCTGTCGCTTGGTGGGTTAAGGGCGAAGCAGATGTGGTCCTCGCCTCACTGGGTCCATTCGAACACCGTATGAAGCAGAAGCTTGCCCAAAAAACGTCTTGTCACTCAGCTCCCTATGTGCGTAATTACACATTGCGTAATTATGTGAGCCATGCACAGACGCATGTTGTGTTACTATGCATTCATGGCTGAGCAGTATACTGTAGACAGATTAATAATAACAAATGACTGATTATTAATCAAATGAACTGATTGGTAACAATAGTCATGAACTGATTAGTGACAATAGAACCAAAATCACAGACACAACTTGTGACTGATAACATCTCACACTGTGAAGCATGCAGACAGATGTGAGCTTAAACAGAGTTCCATGAAAACAACAATATTCATTCTGTTAGAGCACTAAGGACAGAATGTGTCATGGAACGGGCCGTCACATCACGTAGATAAGAGCGAATGAATGAGCAGGGTGTTGACCATGCGGCCGCAGTGCAAAAGTCCTGCATTGACATACCATTATGCAAGACAGTCGAAGATGCGATACCCCTGGTCAAGTGCGCCCTGAGGTTGACAGGAGGCTCCAAAACTGATGCTCTGTAGGCTTCAGAAATGGCCTCACACAGCCAGTGTGACAAGCACTGGGTGGATAACAGGCGACCTGCAGGTGCATCTCTATAATGCACAAACAGATGTTGAGTTACAGCCGTGGGCACTATGTAACACGTCAACGCCCGCACCGGACAGAGAAGATGGAAAGATGCTTCTTCTTCTGATCTGTGGGGGGGAGGGAAAACCCCTCCAACGATATCGCTCTTGATTTAAAAGAGCTCGTGATGTTTTTAGGCATAAAAGCTGGGTTTGGTCTTAAATCAGCTGAGCTGCCCATCAGCCTGAATTCTGAGACATGACGGAGCGACAGAGAGGGCAGATGAAACACTCACCCTCTTTGCGGATGTTAAAGCCAGCAGCAGGGCTGTTTTAAGAGACAAGAATTTAAGTGGAACCTGATCCAGAGGCTCAAATGGAGCTTTAATCAGGGCTCAAAGGACCAGCGTTAAATCCCACTGTGGCACAAGTGGGCGTGAAACAGGCCTGCGTCTCTGTACGCCTTTTAGAAACCGCTTCATCAGCGGGTGATTAAAAGCTGTTCAGTCTCCGAACCCTTCGTGGCAGGAAGAGATGGCTGCAGCGTACGTTTTAATCGTGCTGAAATGCCAACTTCCTGTCCATCAGCTGTGTAGAAAAGACAGCACGCCGCCTAATGGACATGAGGTGGCCTCTACACCTTTCTCTGTACACCAGTGCTGAAAAACTGTCCACTTTGATGTGTACAGCGCTGTGGTAGATGCAGCACGTGAATCCTGGATTGCGTGCACTACCTCCTGTGGGAGACCCATCCTCTCTAAGTGGAGCCGCTCAGTGGCCGGACCCACAGGTGCTGGCCTATTTCTGGGTAACTCCTGATCGCTCCTCCTGCCTGGAGGAGAGCGTCCTCCCTTCATGGCAGTTTCCACGGGCGCCCCGACAGCAGGCGTTGTAGGGCTGAGAACCATGGTGTGTTCGCTCGGGGACCACCAGGAGAGCCGTCAATCCCTCCTCCTGAACTTGGTTCAGGAACCGTAAAATCAGAGGAG